CTCAGGAGGCTGAGGCAGCAGGATTGCTTGAGCCCAGGAGTTTGAGGTTGCTGTGAGCTAGGCTGACGCCATGACACTCTAGCCCAGGCAACAGAGTGAGACTGTCTCAAAAACAAACAAACAAACAAAAAACCTAGAAGATTTGTTACCTGGTTGAAGCAGTTTATAATCATAGGGACAAACTGTTACAAATACAATGAAAAACAATATAAGAACAAAAATATTGTAAACATTGATAAGGGAAAGGTGTACTCATTTTTATGAGTTACACACAGTTAACATTGTTCTTACTTCAGAGACAATGAGACAGCATGTCAGGAAGGGGAATGATGGTAGTTAGGGACATACCAATCATGGTCTGGTATGGGAAGGAGAGCCTGTTAGCAACAGCCTTTACAGGATGGACCAGATTTCTTCAGCATCGTTGTAGAAATCTTTGCTATATAGGGAATCACACCCCCAAGTATAAGAAAGTTAAGTTGTGGCTGGAAATTTTCTAAGTACTGGTTTCCTATAACCAGTTAAAGTTGTGCTAGAAGTTTAGTATTTTATAATATTTGGTGGTAGCAAGTGATTTTTAGCTTTGGATTAGTGATACCCTAGGGCAGAAGTTCTCAAACTTTAGTGTACATAAAAATCATCTGGGGATCTTGTTAAAATTTAGGTCCCTGGGCCCAAGCCCTCAGAGGTTTGGATATAGTAGGTCAGGGGAGTGGCCAAGAATCTGCATTTTAACAACATACTCCTTTTGGTACCCTGAGTCATTTTCCAAAAGGTTGCAAAATTCTCCTACTAAAAACTATTGCCCTTCAACTGAATTTTTAAAATACTATTTTACTTAGCACAAGTAAATACTATGCAATGTAATGATGATTGAGCTTCAGAGTTCCAAAGATGTTAGCAATAACTATTAATAGTTTAGAATCCCTAGTTGTGAACGAAGCTGTAACATGCAATGAGCAGTATACATAGACTTAAGTTAAATTTCTTTCAATTACAATTTATTAGTTACACAATTTCCATTTCTAGGGCATCTGTGCATCCACAGATGGTATTAGATAAGGGAAACAGACTAGGCATAGATACCTAGGGAATTTCATAAGGTTCTTTTATAATCATTTATTGCCTACTGTGCCCTTAATGATGTTACTCAGGATCCCATTAAGTTATCTGTGAATATAGTAATTGGTCCCCTGACAATAGCCAGGGGGAGTCAAATCCTGAGGCTCCACCCAGTTCTGGTCATGTTGGAGACAAGATAGAAATTGTTGCTTGTAATCTTCAAGGGCACTTTCCTTTCTGGTGATAAGGCCCACTGTGCTCCAAAGGACATTTCTCAAAACACAGCAGGAGTCCCTAGAGAGTCCTCTTCCTCTAATTCAGGCTGGCACTTATAACCTACTTTTAAAAGTAATTTGAAAATCCCATCAAACACAAGCAATCAAAATCCAGATTCTCCACCAGCTATTCTGTAGTCCTAGCCTTTCATTGTTTTCATCTGCCCACATCAATAGCTTAAATATATTTTGGATAGGATTTTTCCCTGCCTTTGTTGATACTTAGGTAAAATAGAGCATTTCTGGTGACTGGACTCAAAGCAACTGCACAAATGAATACGATGCAAATTGGTTCTTTCTGTCTGTAGCAAAGGGAGTCAGATTTGCTGACCTGGTGTTCATATTCAGACAAAGTACTGCAGTTTGCAGAATTAAAATCTCAAGCCAGAGGTTTTTCCTCCCTTGTTGGACTGAATCCCTGTGCTTGTGGTTCATATATGTAGCTGGCTTTTGAAACTTTTCTAACTTTTCATGGCAAAATTAAACAAAGCAAAGAGATTTATAGACTCTTCTAGATATGGAAAGTACTCTAAAGAATATCCAATCCCATCTCTTACCTAATTTTTGAATCTCATCTTGCTTTTACTTTAACTCTCCCACTAAATTGTTAGCTTTTTAAGGGAAACAATTCTATCTTACTCATATGTGTTTTTAATCACCATGAGATTTCATTAATAATCAAGTTCAGCTTCTTGAGGAAGAAGGCTTCATTTTGCACAACTGAACTAAATAAATATTTTTTAATTTGATCATTAAGTTGGCAGATTCTTTTCTCATTCCCTATTTTCCAGTTGCATGAATTTGGCTGCCACATTTCCAAATTTCAGATTCCTGCCTAATCACTTACTAATGTATGACCCTGGGCAAGTTATTTATTTTCTTTGTGCCTTAGTTTTTCTTTTCTGTATAATGGTAGCATGATGATGATGATAACTATCATCTTTGAGGATGATATTATAGAACATGATTAATATTTATGCATCTGGATTAAGTAGATACCACTAATAATAGCTAACATATTTCGAGGACTTTCTTTAGTGTGTTCATGCCGCTATAACAAAATATCACAGACTGGGCAATTTATAAATAATAGAAATTTATTTCTCATAGTTCTGGAGGCTGGGAAGTCCAAGGTCATGGCCCCAGCACATTCGGTGTCTGGTGAGGGCCTTTTCCAATAGATGGCATTTTCTCTCAGTGTCCTCACATGGTGGAAAGGGCAGACGGCAGAAGGGAAAAGAACTCGCTTTTGCAAGCCCTTTTATAAGAGTACTAATCCCATCCAGGAGGGCTGTTCCCTCCTGGCTTAGTCATCTCCTAAGGCCCTACCTCTTAATACCATCACATTGTCAATTAAGTTTCAATACATGAATTTTGGGAGACATTCAGACCATAGTAAGGACTTATATGCCCAAAACTACAACACATGCTCTGTAACTATCTCCTTTAAACTCATAAAAACTCTGTGAGGTAGTTGTTATCCCCATTTGGCAGAGAGGGAAAGCAAAGTTTACAGTCTAACTATCCAGTTTCCCAGAATGATAATAGAGCATTGATTGTAATCCAAATTTGTCTATTCTACTTTCATTGCTCCCTCCACAAAGATTTTCTTATCATTTGTTATTTAGTGCAAAAAGCACAGTAAAGGACTGTGGGAAACTGGAAAGGTTATGCTCCATCTGATAGGAACTGCCACCATGTAGGAACATGGGTTTCCAGGTTTTCCCATTTTTCAAGAAAGTGTGGCAACCTAGATTTTAATGTTTTATATATGTATAAGTAGATATACACATATATGTATGCTTATATAATTTATATTTATAGCATATTTATATTTGTAAAATATAAATATATGTATGTGTATATTTTATGTTGACAGTTACTTAAAAACATTTTGAAGTATTGGGTGGGCCAAATGAGAACACTCTGAGGAATAGCTGGATTTGACTTGTTTGCATCATTTGACAGAGTCTTTTGGATTGTGCTCTGAAGGAAGTTATGTTTCAGCTGAGCATGCCTTCCTGCTCACCACCAGACAGACTATGCTGTCTTGATTTTAATCATTTCAGAATGTCTTTTCCACGATTTCTGTCATCCATCCTACTTGCTCTGGTGCTTTTTGCTCTCTCTGAAATTAGTCTGTATTTTCTGTATTTGTTCATCTCTGACTGTATTTCATCAAGTAGAGTTCTGCAGCACCAAGAATTATATGGTGTGCTGTAGGTTCTGGGGATGGTTTGAAGGGTTGCAGGAATGGATGGCATAAGCCAGCCTGTAGTGGAGCCTGTGGGTGACCCTGGACCTGCCACTTATTTCATTGTGTCTTAGTTTGTATTGCTATAAAGAAATACCTGAGGCTGGATAATTCACAAAGAAGAGGGGCTTATCTGACTTGCAGTTCTACAAGCTATATAAGAAGCATGGTGCCAGGGTCTGCTTCTGGTGAGGGCTTCAAGGTGCTTCCACTCATGGCAGGAGGGGAAAAGGAGCTGGCGGGTACATGGCAAGAGGGGAGGCAAGAGAGAAGAGAGGCGCTAGGCTCTTTTCAACAACCAGTTCTTAGTTCTTGGTAGGAACTAAGAGTGAGAACTCAGTCACTCCCACAAGACTGGCACTGAGCTATTCATGAGGGATACTCTCCAAATACCTTCTACCAGGCCCCACATTGGGGATCAAATTTCAACATGAGACTTGGTGGGGCCCAACAAACCATATTTAAACGGTAGCACATTATTTGACTGGGCCAAGACAATTTATATTGATTAGCCTCAATTTGTCACAGGTAGAGTAGAACTGATAACAGTACCTATGACACAGGTTGAAGCATTAAGTGACTGAACATATGTAAAAGCACTTGAAATGGTGAATAGCACATAAAATAGAGAACCATGCCCAAACTCCATCTGGGAGATTCTGATCAAATTGATTTGGGCTGGGACTCAGGTACCTGTATATTTTAAAAACTCTGTAGATGACTTTAATGTGCAGCTAGGTTTGAGAGTCACTGGACTAGATGGTTCTCAAAGTCTAGCCTAATTAGCAGAGCTACAGGCTTACATGTTTATACTTCCTGCCCTTTCATTGTATATTCTATCTAGAAAACACTGTGGGAAAACATAAGTTATTTGAAAGCTGGTCAAAGTATGACACATTAATGGTTACAATTATTTAGTAAGTACGTACTATATATACTTTATCATGATAGATCTTCCATGATTCTATGATAAGCGATTTTTAAATTGAAAATATAACAAGAAGTTTTTAGGCTGCTTCAACCCCTACAATTTAATAGGGAAATCACTGTCCTACAACATAGTATGTTAAAAGCAAAAACAAACACAACTGCATGATTCAGTTAACAAAGTCAGGATAGGAATGCTCATGTAGAACAGAAGAGAAAATTAATTGGGTATTTGGAGCCTGATGAACTGGGTTATCAGGTGGTGACTTAATTGTGCTATTGAATGAATTAACACTCCTTAAATGTGGGAAATTCACACTCAACTTCATCACTCCTGTCGGTGAATTGGTGGGAGTATCTAAAACAGCAAAGTAAATTTCTGAAAAAAATACAAGTAGTTCATATTAAATAAGGATGGGTATCAGTGGAATTAGGGCCCTATCTTGTAATGTTGCTAATGTTCCCCATTATATTCATTGTAGATAAACTTGGAAAATACAGAGAAATAGAAAACAGAAAACTAAAGTCACCTTCAACCTCTACACCCTGAAACAACTATTGGTAAGAGCTTTGTATAACAATTCCTCCTAGCTACAAGTATATATATAAATGCATGAGATTAAAATTAGGGTCATACTACAGATAAATATTTGTATTTATCCTATTAAACAAACTCTCTGAGAGCATCTTTCAAGACAAAATAACTTTTAAGCTTTTGCCTTCTCTTTGGTTACACATGACATATGCTCAATAATAATATTATAACTTCAAGTTAAAGGATGTAAGTAAAAGGAAGATTGACACTGCCCAGGGGAGTGAAACAGGATTATGAAAGACAAATAATGTGCTATTTTTTAATACACTTTTTTCAGTCATCAAAAAATTATTTATGGGGAAGAGCTGAAAAAGGCAGGGATTTAAAATTAGTTGTGGAAAAAGTACAGGATCTCAAAAATGCTTCAGAGAAAATTAGTTTAAGTTCACTAGTGATCTTTTTAGGAATGGCTCAATGAGTACTTATTATATGTATGAATTTAAAAAGATCTAAACATTTAAGAATATAAACATAGTCCTTAAAACCTTAAATCCTTTTTCATTCTCTCTTCTAAGATTTATTCCAAAGTCTCCCTTTTTTCTATATTTTCTATTGCATAGGAATTTTAATTTTTAAAAGTAGAAGTGTTACTGCCGATTACTTCCTTTGTGGATATATGTAGAAAATATGGAAGTGCACCTGGGTACTACCAGGTATAAACAGAAGGAATTGGGAGATCTGTGCTTACACTTCTTGGTGCTGGCTTGTATTTTCCATGGTTGAAATTCTCCTTTAAAGAGAGGGACAAAGAAACCTGAAGTTGCTGAAGGATTCTTGGAGACATCTTGTAATGAACGCTGTTTTTGGTGCTCATTAGGGTTCACCATTGGGCCCACAAATCTGCCAAGTTTGTGCTGGAAGTTCATATTTTGATTCCCAGTGGCCTTTGAAGCACTGGCTACATAATTTGAGGGGCCTAGTGCAAAATGAAAATATGGAGCTCCTTGTTTAAAAGCAAAAAAACTAAAATATAAACATTTTTTCATTCTTCCACTGTCTTTTCCTCAACTTGTCATAGTGTTTTTATTTGTTATTTGATGTTGTACTTGCTTGGGCATGGGGTTACCTGCTGGATGAATGCAAATTCACATAGGGCTTTACTCTGTGACTAAGCACTCACAAAACACATTGACTGTTGGGTTCCCGTCCTGCCATCCACTGGACCAACACATGCCCTGGCAGGTGATGGAGAAGGCATGTCAGGCATCTCCCTTCCTCTTGTGCCTGCCACCTGTAGACACCTATGGTGCCTGGGGACCTCCAGGCCAAATGTGCTAGGTACCTAGATGAGAGATGGATAAGAGACCCTTACCCACTAATAGCCATGAATGTGCCATGGCACTGCTAGTCCGGAACAGGGATGACTGCCACCATGCCTCACCCTGAGACGTTGCAGGGAGCAACGCAAGCTCCTACCAGGGCCAGAGGTCAGCAATAATTGCTGGGTGAGGACAGAGGGAGAGGCCTGGGGGGTCCCAAAGGGCAAGGGTACAGGGAAATAGACAGCTGAGAACCCATCCCAGCAAGGCAGGGGAGCAAGCAGGTGGGTGAGCTGAGGCTGTAGGCTCCCTCTGCATACTATGCTGCTTCATTGGATTTCACTTACAAAACACAAACTCAAAAATAAAATTATTAAGAATCTTAAGATGGAGTATTAAACCTCATGGGGGACATGAGTCTTCTGTGTACAGTCTTCTGTGCTACTAAACTGGTTGCACACCAGTGAGCATGCCCTGGGCCTCTGGAATAAACCTTCTGCCACTGAAATGAAGAAACTGGTTTTTTGTTTTAACAGAATGAGAAATACTTGAATATCACTTTTCTTTCTTGTAGAGTGGTGCTTCTAAACTTTAATGTGCATATGAATCATCTGGTATTCTTGTTAAAATGCAGATTCTAATTTAGTAGGTCTGAGGTGGGGCTTGAGGTTTTGCATTTCCAAGTTCCCAGCTGATGCCAAAGCTGGGAGTGTTCCAAAGCTGAAACCGTTGTCCCCTACCCCTTTAAAAAACGTATTGTTTTGAAATAATTATAGACTCACAGGAAGTTGCAGAAATCTACATAGGTTCCCATGTACCCTTCGCCCAACTTCTAATGCTGACATCTTATATGTAATACAATACAATATATAACACAACTAACTGTAACACAATATCAAAACCAAAAAATTGACATCAGCCCAACACAGTTAACTAGACTATGGACCTGATTCCATTTTAACCATTTTTTATTTGCATTCATTTGTGTGTGTGTGGTTAAATGCAATTTTAACCCATGTATAGATTTTTTTTAACTGCCACCCAATCAAGATACAGAACTGTTCTATCACCACAGAGAAATTCCCTTGTGCTATCCCTTTATTCACAGCCCCCAAGGATGTATATATACAAGCCTAGGGGTTAAGCATGTTACTCTTACAAACTGTGTGACCTTGGCCAAGTGACTTAACATCTCTTTGTGTTTTCTTATCTGTAAATTGAAGGTGATTATAGGGCCTAACTCATTGGGTTGTGCAAGTAAAGTGCATAGAATGGTCCCTTGCAGAGTGTGAGTGTTCATAATCAATTAATAGTATCATTAACGTTAGGATTTGACTGGCCTTGGGTGCCTTCTACTACCAATTGTGTCAAATTTTCCTTCTTTATATCTAAACTATGGATCTCAACAAATTTTACTTTGAATATTTACAGATTTTTAAAGATAGAGTTTCTTTCATTCAGGAATTCTGAAATAATGGATATGCTGCCTCATTTTATATTAGTAGTAGGATTACTTTTTAAGTTTTAAAAAATTAATTTACAAAGATAAATGCCCAAGATGTTCTTTGTAACATTATAATGACCAAAAAGAGAGAAAATAATTTGGTTATTTATTCAGGAACTTGTTAAATTCTATACCATGAAAATAAAAGGATGAGGCAATTCTATATATGTTGGCTAAGATACTCAAGATCTATTAAATTAAAAATAAGCAAATATTGCAAATAAAGGAAGCCAGACACAAGAAAATACGCATGATATGACTATTTAAAATCTAAAAATAGGCAAAGTTATAGTGCTTAGTGATACGTACGTAGGCAATAAATAAAAAAGTAAAATAAGGAATTGATGACTCTAAAAGTCAGGGTAGTGGAACCCTTTGTAGGGGAGGGTGGTAGGTGGTAGTGATTTGGAGGAGTTATGAGGAAAACTTCTAGAGGGCTGGCAATGCTTTACTTTTTAATCTGGGTGGCGATTGCAAGACGGTTCACTTTGTTGTTTTGTATACTTACCTACGTGTATATTAGATTTCACAATATTATTTGAAAGCATATTTCATAACTGTGTTAGGCACATTCTATGTATATTCATAGAAAATTTCACAAAAGATACACACACACACACACACACACAGAAGCTTCTGGATAACTGAGGCAGTGGAGGTTCCCGTAGGGTGGGCACACTCTGAGAGAGCATGGAAGCTCCATGTCCCTTCCCCCATACCTCACCCCATGTATCTGAGCATCTATATCATTTGTAGTATCCTTTATAATTAACTAGTAAGTGTTTAAAAAAAGAAAGAAAGAAAGAACTATGGGCATTTGTTATTACCTTTGGGTTGTGGGAATGTGGGGTAGGGAAAATTTCACTTTGCATTTTACGGTTGGCATTTTCTCCATAATCATATGTTACTTTATTTAAAAATACCCCTCAAATATTATATGTGAATATGGATTTCTCCATCTTTATGTGCTTCTTTTTTATTTGAATTTTCTTCATAATCATGTTACTTTAAAAATATTCTCTCAACATTTTCGCCTGTATTCATGTGTATACATATTTATGCTTGGAGAATTCTGGCATAATACTTCAACAGTGGTCACCTCTAAGGTGTGCACTGGGCATAATGCATTAAGAAAGGGGAGAAATTTTTATTTTATAGACTTATGATTTGTTTGAATATATTTTCTTTTACAGTGAATACATGCTACTTTTTAATTTATAGCATACACCAATAGTGGTATATAACATATTTCAGCATATTTTGTTTTGTAGGCAGATTTGATATGGAGGGATAGAAAAAGGCCACTTAAAAACGTGTCAGATTTGGGGGGAAGGCTCAGTAGGAAAAGATACCCTAGAATACAAACCTTTGCCCCTGCCCCAACACACATATGCCAGAGCCTCTGATAATGGGCTAATCTGATGGAATCTTTGAAATTAAACCATCAAAGCAGGAGTCTTTAATACTAAGTACAGCTCCTGGCTGGTAGAAGGTATTCAAGAGTGATTTGTTAGATTTATTAGAAAACAGAGCACAGAGCAGTGTTTAAATGATATTTGATCTACTACTAAACTTTCACTGCTTATTGATACTTTAGGTTTGTTTGTTTGTTTATTTGTTTGTTTCAGTAAGAGGTTTGAGAGGGGAAGAACATGATTGGTGGGATGCAAGTGGGTGGTTTCTGGGAAAAAGTAAAATGTTAGCGTTTTAGGTCAGTCAATATTTTTGTCTATTTTCTAAAAGTATAGGAAACTTTTCAAATTGTTAATTAACAGTGATACTATATCCTAATTGTTCTATGAAGCTCAGAATAAATGACCTAAAATTCAATAAGAATGACTCAGCTAGACAAGAAAAATTCACTCGAAAACCCAACCTATTAGAGGGAAACAGCACTGGTATTAATCAAAGGTCTGATATTGAAACTCTCTGAGAAATCTGAATAGATTCTACACTTTGTTGCTGATAATTAAACATTGCCAACAAATAATAATCAATAGTAATTTTTTTGTTTTTGTTTTATTTTGGCAGCAGAGGCAATCAAGTATAGAGACACAGAAGCGAGCCTCTTACCAAAATAGAGCTTCTTTGGGACAATGGCCAGCACTGGTATAAAATTGCACTGCCTCAAAACAGTAGTGGCTACTAAGCACTTGAAATGTGGCTAGTCTGAATTGATATGTCTTTTTTTTTTTTTTTGAGA